TAAGCATTACGTAATGTATATTATATCGTTTATAGAGTGTTTTCTATTCATTTAGATTTTTTCTCAAAAACTATCAATTGAAGTGTTTTCTAAAGAATTCAATTATTCATTTTTTGTTCATTCAATGCATTCAGAGTTTGTATAATATGTTTACATTTGTGTTCAACAAAGGAATTCGCTTAATTCATTGTATTTTATTTTATAATAACTTAATTACTAAACACTTTTAGTCTCAAAACGTGTAATTCATTTATTAAATCAAGCTTTGGATCAAATATTCTCTAAAATTCTTGTTTTACGTTTGAATTTGCGATAAATTTTTCAAATTTTCCTAAATTTTGCCAGAATTAATTTTAATCTCAATTAATATATATTAGCAGATTTCATTTCTATTAATTTTAGTTAATTAGTACGGATGCCAACAATTAATTTAATTTATGTCTTAAATTAATTAGTTTGATATATAAATTAAATAGAAAGCCGCAAATATTTCTCGACGCCTTTATTAATTGAATTAAAACTTCTAACTTTATAAGAATTTCTTAATTTATTTGATTAAAACATTTTCTAATTAATGAATTTAGCAAATAAATTATGAAAATTAATCCTTAAAATATTCATCCTAGTTATTTTAATTTGTAAAAATTACAATTAAATAAATTTATACGTATATACAGTATACATTGATCCATACATTATTAAACAAGATATTTTTAGATAACTTTATTATTTACATTTGTTTAGCTGGGATGTAGTTACTGTATATAATATGTTTTATTGGCTTTTATATCCATTTACTTTAATTCAATATTAAATCGAGTTTTTTGTAATTAAGTTCAGATAAGGTGTGCATTGAATCGATTTAATAGCGATTTAGGAAAAGACTGTTTTTATATAAATTATTAATGAAAAGTCAAAATGAAAGTCAAAACTGTTATACAAATATTAGTTTATGAAAATAAATTTAACAGAAAAATAATTTATTACTTTTGATTTAATGATTCAGGAATTCATTACATAAATTATATTTAGGTTAATGAGGGCTCAAAAAATCTAATGAATTCATGCAAATCTCAAAATATAGTGTTCAGACACTCTGTTTAGATATATTGCACTCAATTCATGGTATAATTGGCAAAATATTTCAAACAAATGGTGCGATTGTTATGATATGTGTATAGATGTGGTAATAGTGAGCAAAATAGTGATCAAAATGAATAAGTAATGAACAGTCAGTGGATTACCGGTCACTTCGAGGACCTTCTGGCCCTCAGCCGTCACGAAAGACGGCGCCTCCGCCGAGACCTCACATCTAAATAGATATTTATCGACAAAAATATGGCATTTATTATATTATATGAATATTTATTGCTTTGCATACAAGCCATGGCACACATACCTATAGAGGCCGGCGGTGTGGATGTCCACCTGCTTGAGAAACACCGAGTTTTTGCCACTTCTTGACAGCTAATAAACAATTTAAAGTAACACTTATTTAGCTTTTATTGCACTCATAAACACTAAAACTTAAGATTCAAATCAATCCTTACGTCGACTCTAATGCCAGGCATAGGCAGGAACTGTCCGGGCGGCCAATCCTTCACCAAAACACAACTCAATTTAGATGTCTTTTATTTATCCAATTATCTAATATATGGCATACCTTTGGGACATATCTTCGCATATTATTCAAATCATTTGAATATAAATGTAGAGAATATTAATTAATTCATAACAAAACACATAAATTATAGTACTCTTAGACAAACAATCGCTTACCGATAAAATTCAACATCATTTTTATACCTAAGAATAACAGAGAATTTTTTGTTTATTTTTACATTCATATGTATGTTATTATTAAAAGCAACAAATCATTGATATATACAAATTTTGTAATATCTAAAACAAACCATTTGACTGAATATAGTCGATCATCACCCAGGTCATATGAGCAGGTTAGTTCCACTGATTCGCCCACATATGAAGGTGAGGGCACGTCCAGCATTATTAGCTTCAGTGACATTATACTCTCTCCTATAAATCATTGCAGTTTTCAAATAAGATTTTCAATTCAATTTAAGAAATATATTATTTAGAAACATATTTTATTTAATGCATTTAGTTTATTGTTGTTTTAAATCTTAAGATCTATCGTAAGAGTTTTTTATTTATATAAAAAATCTCTTTAATACTATAATGGAGTTTATATTAGCAAGCTATAGCACAGTATAGTGTTGTTTATGTGTTTTATTATAATATGAAATATTATGAAATCAAAATTGAAATGTTTGACGGATTAAAAATGGGTTGATTGAAATTGATGTCTATTTTATAATTATTTTCTCAAATTCATTCGTTTCGCTATTTTTTATATATGATTTTGAATTTAGATTCACTCTCACATCAAATCATACATAAGTGTTGAGAGAGTTTGGGATTTGTAATACATTTATCATATTTTATCAGAGTTTTCATTTAGGTTTCTGAATAAAACAGAAATTGATTTACTCTCAATTCATAACTAAGCCTTCAAATCTAGATTTTTATATTAGGTTTGTAAGATATTTCAATAAATCCACGTATTTATATAATTAGATTGGTTTGATATAAGGTTTAATTTAGTTATTAAAGAAAATGTTCAAGCTTTTGTAAAAGTAAATGATGTAAATAATACAGCATACACTCTTTTTATTAAGGTTTTCAGATTTAATAGCATTCTTAAGGTTAGATCATTTCTATCATATTTTAATTGATTTAATCTTTTGGAGCCTTAAGTTTATAATTATTTAACAGATGTTTTGGTATTCATGTCATATATAAGACATTTTTGAAATCATTTGATATATTATACAAATATTGATATGTTTTATAAATCAATTAAGAAATGATTATAAACTCTAATAATTCAAATATTTATAAAGTGTACATAGAAATGTTTATTATGTAAAATATTGATTACTAAAGTGTAGTACTAATCAACCTAACTTACTAATTAAGTCCTAAAATCTAATTTAAAAAATAAACATTTGTCTATTATAAAAGTATAACAATAGAGTAAACTTTTAAAACATATTGTTAAAAACAAAAACATATTGTATGTTTTATCATTTATGATCAATTTATTATAGTTTATTATTATTGTTAATTTTAATAGTTACAAATATTATTTAATTGTTATGTAAAAATAATAATCAAATTGATTGTAATATTAATTAAATATTTTTATAATTTATGATAGTCTGAAAGTTTTTGTTGTAATAATAACAAAAAATATTAAAATGAACAATTTTTAATTAAACGGATATTAAAGGAATTGCTAATTGGATGGACTCACCACATATGAGCACCAGTATGAGGAATAATAAGTAAAACATGTTTTTTCAATTTTCAGTCTTCAGCACAACAATAGGCAAGTGATCGGAAATTGTGATGCATTTTGTGAATGTATAGCACACTACTGGCCCACACGGAACACCATCTCTTAATCTGCTCCACGAATATGTATTTTGGCTTTAAATTCACTTTACAATGGATTCGAGCGATGCATACATTGCTATCAACCATACGGTGACACGAGTTCTGCAATTGAGGCGAATATAAGTACAAGAAATACAAAGATATAAGAAGTAAAAGATTGATGTATTTATGCGACCAATCCTTTCACATACTTTTGGGCTTTACATTCAGCCTGAAATACTCGTTTGTATTCAACTAAATGTGTTTTCGCACACTATTTCCTAAACCTCCTCTCATACACAAAATTCAAACAAAACTTTTTGCTATAAAAAATAGTTAGCATTAGTATTACCGTAATGCTATATTTAAAAATGACAAAGTACCTCTCAAATATTGTCCACAAATTTGAATTAATAGAATATATCTTTAAACGTTTCCAAATATATTATAATAATAAGAAAACTATTAATTTACTACTTTAAAATTTATTATTGAAACATATCCAGCAATAGCTATTACATAAGTAACTTGAAGTATTGAAAGTCATACTTTTATATAAAATATATGTCGTAAAGAGTTATAGACAGGACATAATGTGTCCATGAATTTTCATATCACTTATATTCATAACTTTTTATATAAATATTGATAAACTTTATTATAAACAATTTTGTGTCTTATAGTTAATGTTTTTATAAACATTAAAAGTTATGATATACTATATAACAGACAGATATCATTCACATCTTATAATTGCATACATATTCATTTAAATAAAATTGTCATAATATTGTCAATAATCGATTTGTTTGACTTTATAATGATCTTAATTCTTACATTGATTTCATGTGACCTAAAATTAGGAGACAGAGAGACATGCGATCGAAACAAATGATTGATTGATTAATGTAATCACCAAATGTCTAAATGAATAGTTTAGTATTTATTTCATTTTGCAAACAATAAAATATTTTGATAATTTCAAATTTAATTGTCTAAACCCTATCAGTAAAGCGTGTCAACAGAATATGCTATGAAGTGAAGCGCCATTTAAGGGTGGCTTTCATAACATTGTGTTTATTAACAGTACATAACGTTAATACCCGTATACTTGATATGAAATTACGAGATAAATGTATATTTG